AAATTCTTTTCCTGCCAATTGAACTGTATTATCTGTAGATGACTGTGGCCTATTTGGATCTGCACATATATGTATACCCTACGTTTTGCAGTGGTTTCCTTTTTAATCTTTGGCATTTCATAAGCTAGTCAGACCTAAATCTTGATACTTGGAACTACTCTGTCACTTGTATTTCTCATAATATGATGGCATAAAAGTATTTTCTTTATTTTTTCCTAGGGCCAAACCTGAATTTTTGCCTGCTTTGCCTTGAGCAAAAGTTTTTCCTCTGTGTCTTTTTGAGGACTTTTGCTTATGCCTTCCACCAGGCAGTTGTCTTTGACATGTTGTCCTTCTCTTGTACACATTCCCCAGAGCACTCAGTGTTTCTCAGTTAAAGTTTGGGCTCTAGCTCTGATATGTTGTGTTGCTTATTCTATAAATCTTGGGAAAGAGCACTGTTGCTTTTACTCTTTTTTTTTTAAGTTAAAGGAATTCCTTGCTCAAGGGCCAATATTTAAGGCTGATTTCCAGAACGCAGATCGCAACTCATTTGTGGATCATGAAATAATTTAGCAGGTTGCAACTAATTTCCAAATAAAATTTAATAAAATATCATCATGAAAAAGTGTGTGATTCAGCGTATGTAGGATACTGACAATAGTCAAACTCATAGAGGCAAAAAAAAAAAAAAAAAGTAATAGTGTTGCCAGAGGCTGGAAAGAAGGAAGAATGGGAAGTTACTGTCTAATGAATATGGTATTTCATTGGAAAATAAGGTTCTGGAGATGTGTAAGGATGAAAGCTGCACAAAACATAAATATACGCAATACCACTGAACTCTACACTTTGAAGTGGTTAAAATGATAAATTTCATATCATATAAATTTTAACACAAAAATATCAGTGTGTGTCATATTGTCAGGAATCCTCACATTCTATTTGTGTTTACTGGGTTATAATAGAGGCGTGCTTAGGGCTGGGGAGATACCTCAGTAGAATAAGTGCCTATCTGGCTAAGCACAGGGTCCTGAGTTCAATCCCCAGTACTGGAAAAAAAAAAATGTGCTTGTTATTTTGGGTTTAGGTTAAGGCATTTGAAAACCCACAACTGTCAGTAGAGAACATGGTCTAGCAGGCACACCTGTCCTCCCGTTCCCTCTCATCGGACTTTTCTTGGAGAGATAGCAGTATCTCTGCTCATGTGAGAAAGTGTCCAGATCTTGTTCCCAGTGCACTGAAAGCCAGTGAGGTTTCCCGTGGGAATGCTAAAGATAATCTCCAATAGTTCACATTAGACTAAGTAACGAGTAGTTATATGGTATCTTGTTTTGCCAAGGCAAGAAAAGAAGAACACTTTTTCTATTTTTAATTGTCAAACAATGTACTAAAGTAGTTTGTAAGCAAGTATCTCATTTAATGTTTAAAAAGTTAACATAACTACTATATTCATTTTATGAATAAGAAAACTAAATTTAGCTAGGCAAGATGACATTCTCCATATTACATATAATAACAAACATTTTAGTCAAGATTTTCTCACCCCAGTTGCCCTTTTCTTAATCTGTATGCTATATTATAAAACCTTTATTGCTACAGAGGGATCCAGAAAGCAATCGAGCACCTCATCAGTCAAGTCAGATTATTATTTGGTACCTGAGATGTAATAGTTTACCCCAGAATGATAAGCAAGGCAGATCTTTAAGGACCATGTCTGTGTGCCACAAAGCCATTCAGTCAGGTTTTCTCTATATCTAGTTGTACTGGATACTCCTTGCTCAAAGAATTGATGCCTATGTATAGATTATGTGGATAGGTGCTATATAACTTTTTGGTTAAATAGAAGGTTAGCTACATCAAATCCTGCATGTTTTCCTTTGTTTAGAATGTTTTCCATACTCAAAAGAATGTTGAATTTATGACTGAATTTATAGATGGTTAACAAACTACTGAATGGAAAGCTACTACTAGAGGTTTTGCTCCTAGGAGCCATTTCCTAGCATTCTTTTTCCTTTCCTTATTCTTTCAAATTGCAGCAATGGAAAATTCTGTAAATACAGAATGAAGGTGACTTATGTTGAAAATTTTGCAGGGCTGGGAAGTAGATTGGTGGTCTAAGCACCTGCCTGACAGTTGCAAGGACCCGAGTTCCATTGCCAGTACTGTATGCCTTGCCTGCCCTGAAGCCAGGCGTAGTAGCATACAACTGTAATTCCAGCACTGGTAAGGCTGAGACAGGGGATCATTGTGAATCCAAGCTACATAGCCAGACCCTGTATCAAATAAATAAATAAGTGGTTTTTTTTTTTTAATCTAAAGAAAATCTTTGGAGAAAAGGGGGAGTCGTGAAATATCTATTGTAGATTGTGGGGTTTTTTTTAATTTGGTTTGGCCTTCTTTTCTTTATCTGTACTTTTTTTTTTCCTTTGACAGCTGATTTATGTCAAAGTCCATTGTTGTACCTATTAAAGAAATTGTAAGGCCAGGCATGGTGGCACACAGTGGTAATCCCAGTTTTTCAGGAGACTGAGGCAGGAAGATTGTAAGTTCAAGGCTAACCTGGGCATCTTAATGAGACTTCGTGTCAAACTTAAAAATACAAAGGGCTGTGGCTGTATATCAGTGGTGGAATCCCTCAGAGAGTTATTCCCTAGTGCCAATTTTTTTAAAGCTACTATAAGTTTCTAGCAGGGTCATTGTTCATTTGTATGACTATTTTATTATACTTATATCTCTTCAGTGCTAAAGTATATGGTTAAGATAGAATTAAGAGTATCAATTATAAATACACTGGCTCAAAATACCGTCTAAGTATAATCACATTACGTATACAATCTCAATCTTGTGTTTAAGAAATATCTAATTTTATATGATTCTAATTTTTAAATAAAAGCCTAAATATTTTAATGTCGATTGACCAAGGATCTACATTACACAGGAGTTAAGATTGTTAAAAAGTATTGCAGACCATTTGAGTATAGTTTTATAATTAAGGAGTTTCTTTATGTACTTTGAGAGGGTACTAGATATTAAGCCCAGGTACTTGCCCATGCCAGCAAGCACTACCAATGAGTTATATCCCCATACTTCCTTAAATTTTATTTTGAGACAGGATCTCACTAAGTTGCCCAAGTTAGCCTCCAATTTGTGATCCTCCTGTCTGAGCCTCCTGAACAGCTGGGATTATAGACTTATGCCACAACACTGAGCTTTAAAATTTTTTTCTACACATTGTTTTTACATTTGATTTAATGAAAATGAGAATTAATTTGTTATAAATAAATATTGTCACAGATACTTGTGATGTTTTCATAACTTTCTCCAACATGTCATATCTGCTATGCTCTAGAATTAGAAAAATATATCTTAGAAGATCTCAGTGTCAAACATTGTAGTTGGCAAGAAAACTGCTTTAGATAAACACCTGAAATTGTACATTTACTGTTTGAAAACTAATCTCTAGAACTCTTGCCTGAATTTTAATAATATTTTGCCTAACATTGTACCTTATTTCTTACAACTTTTTAGTATAAAGGAAAGTGTTCAAATGGTAAAACACCCATATGACTAATATATTTTGCTATTTCTTAATTTACCTTGCCTGAGAGATTTCATTTGAAATTCTAGATAAATTCGTAGTAAGTTAAGTCAGTATGCCCATCTGTACAGCTTAAGGGTATTGCAGCCACATTTTTGTGCATAGTCAATAACAGTGTTCCAGAATCTGTGTTTTATTTGTGTGCAAGGGAGATGTACTAGTACTGTAGTAAGTACCACATAGCTCAAAATCTTTTAGAGGTTAAACAATGCAGTAAGCATGTTGAATGCTTCTAGCTTTCATTTTCACCAGCCTCTTTTCACAACAGCTTTCAAAATCCATGTTAGCATCATAGCTCAGAGAATCCTGCATGATGACATTCTGAGCTCCTCTCATGTATCCACTGGAGAGCACTTCAACTCTCCCATTCCTGGTTTATGTTCAGTTTTGTAATGTTTGCAGATGTCTACATTACTAGCTAGACCATGATACATTTGAAAGCCAAGGACTTATTTGTTAATATTTGTGTGTGTGTGTGTGTGTGTGTGTGTGAGAGAGAGAGAGAGAGAGAGAGAGAGAGAGAGAGAGAGAGAGAGAGATACAGACAATTTTTTTTTCTCTAGGAAACTGTAGGTCACAGTCTTGTTCTCTAAACTTCTCAAGGCTTTAAGAGCCAGGCTACCATAGCTGCAGAACAAATTCAGAATGGAAAGAAGGTGGAGAATAGTGCAGGGAAGGAGATAGCTCTATTCAGCATTCCACAATTAAGAGAATTCATCATGCTCTTACCATGTCCAGCCCCCAGTTTTTATGCCTCCACTAGCACCAGTGCAGTATAATAGTAGCTATGTTTCTTGCACCTACTAGCAGCCACCATGTGCAGAAGTATTCCCTCTAATAAATGCTTTCTTCCTTTTTAATCAGATTTAGCTTTTATACATTGGTTTTAAGAGGATGAGCAAGTGAAGAGAAGAATTATGTTGTGTAACTGTCCATAAAATCTTCATTATTTAGACATGATCATAACATTTATGGCACCTACTAGAATATTTAGCAATAGCATATTGACTGACTCACATGGGAATATTGGTGTACAGAATCTGAAGGAATAAAATAAAAGTGAACTGTTTATGGTGACCCTGAAAGTGTTGCATTCTTTGAGCACCAGAGTCATACTTTGAATTGTTTTTGCATTAAACTGAGAACAAATTGTCCATAAGTTTTATGAGAATATATGAAAAAGAATTGGATTGAAGGTAGGTCAATATGACCTGGAGATTGAGGAATGCTTTGAAGGTTTTCTGCCAACAGTTCATATAGAATATGAAACACGACTTATTAAAAAAAAAAACTGGTTTATGTTAGTAAATATAGATTTGATAACATACTGACTAGGATTAGGGCATGCTTTAAAAATTCTTATAGAAAGATATTATATAGTACTTGGAAATTAAGATTATTCAACTTCTTTTATTTTTCATAGCTCTGCAAGTGAATCTGGTTCTCAAAGCACATGTGATCCACTTATAACTCCAACAGCCTTGGCTGCCTGTACCAGAGTCGACTCCTGTTTTACCCCATGGTTTGTCCCATCTTTTTGCATGTCCTTTCAGTTCGCTCACCTGGAATTCCATCTGTGTCATCACCTTGACCAACTAGGCACAGGTACTCTTTACTTAGCATCAAAATAATGTCTACCAAATATTTGTTGCTTTCTCGAGAGTGTTTTCAAGATATAACTCATCAGTTTTTACCCAGCTGATTTGTTTTCAGGAAAAATGAAATAAACCATAAGTTTATTCTGAATTTGATCCAGTTCAACAGATATACTATTTCCTTTTGAACTAACTTAGGCAGGTAGAAATGGTATTGAACTGACATGTTTTGGAATGTTTCCTAATGAGAATTTCAAGGAAGGTACAAAAATTGTAAGTTTTATTATTCTAATTACAGTCTTTTTCAAAGAAATAAGTCTGGTTTTGTTCCACATCCTGATTCATTACTTTAGTGGCAAATAAATTGTCAAAGCACTTACTATTACCTGATTTCAAAAACATGAATACCCTCTAAAAGGATGGACACATTCTCAAATTAATTTAAAGGAATCTCATTTTTTAAAGACAATTAAATTTCCTCACATCATAAGTAGCTTTTTACAAATTTGCTAATCTTACTTGAACAGTTATTTCTAAAGCATCATATTCTATATGGAACCTCTTTAGGTATTAGATTTTCAAACTACATATGGTGGAAGAAGGATAAAGACTAAAACCAAGCAAAGCTACTGTTAAACATACTGGTTTTTCTAAATATGTTTGAGTGACATTTATTTTTTGAGATACACTCAGTAATGAGATTTAGATACTTCCCTCTCTGCTTTATTTATCTTCTGTGATCAAATTCTTTTTCTATGAAAGTGAAAGAAACCTTGAATTTTAATATCATTAAGAGAATGTTTGAATTTCTTAAATACAAAATACAAATTTAGCAACCAAAAAGTGATCAGCCTAGGAAAAATAGTGAGTTCAAACCAGTCTGAATTATATACCAAGACCCTGTCTCAACAAAAAATAAATAAATAAAAATAAATAAATAAAAAGCCAGCAATGGTGGTGCATGCCTGAGTCCTAACACTTGGGAGGCTGAGACAGGAGGATTACCATGAATTGGAAGCCAGCCTGGGCTACATAATGAATTCAAGCCCAGCATGCACAATATATAGCAAGACCTTCTCTAAAAAAAAGTAACAAAAAAAAAAAGTAAATAATTTAAATGTACTTTCAGAGTACACTAACACAGAACAAATTGGGAATCACACAGCTAAAATCAATCAATCAATGGCTTTTGAAATAAAGAAACAACTGCAGAAAGGTATAGAGGAACTCAGATTGGAAATGAAAAAAGAATTCCCTGAATTAATAGCATCTGCAGTAAAGAATCAAATGCAGAAACATATGGAGGAAACCCAGTGCCCACGCAGAACACATGCAGAGGACACTAGCTCAGCTCAAATGTATGGATTAATAGTGTCGATAGTAAATGAGCAATAGCAGAAAGTTACAGAGGAACTCCGAGTGGAATTCTTTTCTAAAATAAAAAAGAATTCTCTGAACTCATAGCATCTGAAGTAAAGAATCAACTACAGAAACAAGGGAGGAAACCCAATCTGAAAAAACACTGCAGTAAAAGGATTAATAACTGCTTCTAAAGAAGACATTGATAAAAAAAAATAGAGATTAGAAAAATGAGGGATTCCTTGACTGAGCAATGCAGAAAACAAATAGATCACATGAAGCAGAGTCAAAGACATATACAGGAAATTAAAATCTCAATCACAAGCTTGCTAAACCGTTTCAGTGAAAGTGAAGACAGAGTTTCAGATCTTGAAGACACTGGTGCAGCTAGTGAAAAGGTAAGAAAGGATCTCTTAAAAAGAACTAAGATGCAGGAAAAAATAATACATCACCTGCAAGACAATGCAAAGATGAACAGTGTGAGACTAATAGGCATCAATGAGAAAGAAGGAGTCAATACAAATGACATTAAAAAAATATGGGCAGAAGTAATAGCACAAAACTTCCCAAATATGAGGAAACAATCTGATATTCAGGTAACCAAAGCATGCAGAATGCCAAGTAACCCCAACCCAATTAAAAACACACTGAGACATATTATAGTCAAGATCCCAGAAATTCAGCACAAGAATAACATACTGAAAGCCACAAAGAGAAAAGAAGCAGATCACATTCAAAGGAAAACCCATCAGAATTACGGCCGACTTCTCTTCACAAACCATGAAGGCAAGAAGAGCATGGAGCAGAATACTTCAACTCCTCTATGAAAACAAATTCCAGCCCAGACTACTATACCCTGCATAACTCTCTTTCGAGTTTGATGGAGAAGTGAAATACTTTCATGACAAAGAACAGCTAAAGAATTTTGTGATGACAAAGCCAACCCTACAAAGGCTAGTGCAAGATGTTCTAGAGAGGGACCAAAATGATCACAACTCCACAAATGAGATCAGAAGCAACCCACTAAATAGGGCAAGAAGTTAAACACAAGAGAAAAAGGAGTAAACGACAACAAGTAAATAACATGTCAATCGTGAGTCAATACATTTCAATAATAACCATCACTGTAAATGGACTCAATTCACCAATTAAGAGAAATAGGCTAGCACAGTGGATTAGGAAACAAAATCCAACAATATGCT